AGGTGATGAACTGATGGTTGGACTTGGTGATCTTAGGGGTCTTCTCCAACCTTAATGATTCTACTGTGAGGATTTTCAGGGTGTGAGATATCTTCAGCAGTAATCCCTTCTCCTGGAGGGCTGAGACAGTATTTTGCTATTAGAGAGGGATTTCCCTTTGCTGAATCCCACCCCATCACCCTTCATTGAATCCCTCTGTACCGCTCTCTGCAATTACTTCCCCTCTGCAGGGTGCTGCCTGTGTATGTATCAGATGGGCAGCTCTGCGTTTGCTTTGTAATGTCTTATTGGGATGCACAGAGACATAGATATTTGGCAATGACATAGACACAGAGATATTTGACAATGACAGTAGGAAGAAAAGGGAGGGAATGGCTGTGGACGGGTGTTGCATGCGTACATCCTCCATAAAATTCTATTTCTGTAGTTTTATGGCTGATGAGGCGGCGTGTGTCTAAAGCTGGATTCTTTTGTATAAGGTGAAAATGCCACGAAATACCAGGATCCTCTCACATCTGGAGGAATGTCCATGCTGCAGTGGGGCTCTGTAAATATTTATACCTGATGACTTAGCAGCTGGCTATTAAGTGCCCTGCTTGTTCCTGCAGTGCTGTGAGCAAATGGAGATCTGGCATTTAGAGGCTGCAGCACGGATTGTTCTCTTGGTCTTAACTTTTGGTCAGAGAATTTACTTGGTGCTAATGATGTCACTGGCGAAGCATCCCTCATTCTCCATCCCATCCGTGCTGACCGAGGGATGCTTGAGGGCCAGAAGGAAAGCGGAGAAGGAAAAAAAAGAAGAGTAATCGTGGCTCCAAACAAATGATGTAGATGGTGGTGGCTGCCCTGAATGGCTGCTTTGACCCCTATGCTGTTCCTCCTGTTGTGCTGAGTCACCAAGTGGTGACTCACTGGTGCCATAGATCTTCTCCCTGTGTTCTTTCCCATTGGGTCCAGGTGGTGCTTGGGCTGACAGAGTGCCAAAGCCCACTGTAATAGAAATGAAGGCTCGGTTGGCTCGAGCTGGGCTGGGGAAGGACACGTTCAGATGGGCAAAGGGATCCTTTCTCAGCACATTTGGGAGCAGAGATGGGTTAAGCATCGCTGTTCTGCATCCCCACAGCGAATCCTTAAGTGGAAGTTGTATAAAAATGCCTTTTTTTTTATCATCCCTGCAGCTGGGGAGATCTTTTCACTCCCCTATTTCATGTAACTTAATAGTGCAGCCGTACCTTCGGCTGAATGAAGATTATTTGCAGTGAGAAGGGGACAGAAACCACCCAAAAGCCAAACAAACCGCAAAGTGCTTCATTCCAACCTTCAGAAGAAAGTAGCTGCCCTCCAACCTCTCCCTTTGAAAAGACGTCTCATCGTCGAACTCATTTTGAACTAATGAAAAATAAATTTCTCCCTCTGTGCCTGCCAGCAGAACCCTGTGCCTCATTCTACTGGAAATGAAGCAAATAAAAACACATCATTCCTCCGAAGCCAAAGCGTTGGCATTGGCACCACACAGCAAATAGAGTTTGGCAGACGCGGCCGGGAGGATGGAGGTGCTTCTCAAGGTGCAAAGCCATGCCTGTAGAAAAGCTGCCTGGTGAGCCTTTATTTTCCTTATTTGACCACTCAGAAATGTTTCAGGAAACATTTTAGGCTGCTCCCCTCTGCTCGTTTTAGCAGGATGCCCCTTCAAATTATTTGGATCAGCTACAAGATTTATGCTCCCACCATTGTACCTGCTTTATGTGAATCCCCAAAGCGATGGCCCCATCATCAAATGCTTTGCAGCCCTAAACAGAGCATCCTGGATAGGATGCCCAGGTGGGCTGGGGCTCTGGTAAGGGCTTCCCGGGCTGGGATATCCCCAGGTTTATCTTTTGGACCTTGCAGCTTGGAGAGGAAGCAAATTTATGTAAAACATCACGGCTTGGGTTTTAAACAAAGAGGATGTGCTGCGTTCTGTGCAAGTAGAATATTTACAGTTATAAGGCAGGATGATCTATGCCCCTTCCAAATAATAAATAAAGGTTGAGTGTTGGGAATAGGATTTGTAAGGCTAAAGCTAATAAAGAAATTGTCTTTATTGAGGAAAATGAAGCAGCCTCGTCCCTGGGATGAAATCCCAAACGAAATTTACTGTTTACTAAAATGCTGCAGAGTGATTTAAATGTTTTTACAAAACCATTTTTATCGTCTGTGCAGAGGATGTGGGTCAGTGGGGCTGTTCCAGGTTTCCTAGAAAACCTAAATGCAGTCCCAATAGTCACAGCTTAGCAAAGCCACACTGATTTCCAGCAAAGCAGAGGGAATTCACATCCCCATAAAACACAGCAACAGTCAGAACAGGAACTGGTGGACTAGCCTGGCATTGCTGGGTTAGAATTCATGTCCCCAGATGTGCCCCATATCTGCCCCAAGGGAAGCAGATGGAAATCTATGGATTTGGAAGAAGTGCAGCAATGAGGGACGCTGATGCTCCAGAGGAATTAGTATCTTCTATTTCAAGAGTGACATTTCTCTTGAAAAGGGGGCAAACCTCAATACCTGCCATACGTCTACATTGCTCTCTAAAGACATCAAAATTGTATTCCTGGTTTTTGATCTTCCTGCTTCTCTTTCTGTAGAGGAGACCGGGAGTAGATGTGCAAAAATAAATACGGCTTCTGCCTAGAGCTGAGTTTTGCCCTCGTTGCCCACTGCAAATTAGCACAACGTGTACAAGTGAGAAAGGAACACGGCAATCTTCCTTCTGCTGATGTTACATTGCACAGCCCCATTGCTAAAAGCATAGTTTAAGCTATTAGCCACCAAGAGAAACCTAATGCCTGTTTTGGAAAGTGTGTTTGCTCTCTAGGATGCCTGGAAAGGCTTATGCACTGCCAGCCTGGTGACCGTGGATGCTCACAGCCCAGCCCTGAAATAGCCTATTTTGGAGGGAGAAATGGGATCAGGTATGGTCAGGGAGAAGCAGCCCCAGTGCCGCAGGGATGCCTTGCAGTCCTGCCCTCTGAATACCTCCTCTGTCAGCCAAGAAACCGATCATGGATGCGTCAAAACTGATGTCGCCTGCCAGATCTGTGCAGAATAAAGCCAGGCTTTCAGTGGGAGGACAGGTGGACACAGAGCAGGTTTACCCTTGGCAGTGCCACAAGCTTGCAGTCATGTGGCAAAACACAGTGACATTTGCTGTCGTAGCATGAAGAGACAACTTAAAATCCCCTGGCTGATGCATTTTTTCCTCTTCCCATGGTGCACGCATTCTCCTCTTGCCTTTCTAATGCAGTTCCTTTTTTTTTTTCCCTAGTCTTCTCTTTGAGTGCCTCTCTATAGAACTTCATGTTCCCTGAGTCCTCTTTAGAATCACAGAATCGTTAAGGTTGGAGAAGGCCACTAAGATCATTTCATCCAGCCCCCAACCCGTTCCCACCATGCCCACTAAGCCATGCCCCTCAGCCAAATCCTTGCATTAAGATGTGCTGGCAGGGCCACCAACTATTGCCATTTTCTTCTGAAATCCACAGTGTGTGATATCAGTGCTCCATATGCAGGAAAGCCCAGGGGCTTGGGTCTGGCTGAGAAGGTCCTGTCCTTGGCTGACAAAAAGAGCTCAAGAAAGTGCAGGTGGATCCAGGACATGGATCATGTTCTCAGACCTTGCTTGATACTCCTAAAGGCCCTTTTGTCTTTTTATCATTTCCAACTCTTAACATAAATGATCATGCCCCAGTGCTTGAATTTCATGCCTTATGGATACTTTATTAATTCCTAGGCGATTCCTTGCACCATGTTTATAGAACATGGGTGGTTCTTGGGAATTTCAGTGTCCTACGTAGTTCTTATGCACTCTGTTGCTGTCCTGCAGGTTCCCATGCTTCCCACCTACCAGGGCCAATTCATGCCTCATGGAGATGGGTGACCAATCAGTCAAGCCTATGCAGGAAAAATTTGGGAATTTGCAGAAACGTGGCTCTCTTGCTCATTTTGCATTTGAGATTCCTCAAAACATGGCCAACAGAGAAAAAGGGGTTTAAAGACTCCGTGGGTTGACAAACCAATAATGGAACCTTGTAGGAAGGACAGAGTAGGAATAAAAGATGTTTACAACTACTGAGGGGACCAGAAGGCCAATGATGCCCAGAACATTACTGCTTCATCCTAGAAGGTCTGATGTCCTGCTGATGTCCTAAAAGGTTCTGCCCAGGAAGTGGTCAATCCTAGGACACGAGTGTTTTAGGTAATTGTTATTTATTATCATATTTTGCAACTAGGAAAAAAAAAAAAAAAAAGAGTCTAGAGCTTTATCACTTGCTGGAATTGTGCTATTTCCTCCCTTTAAACCTTTGAGCAATAGAGATAAAAAGTGAGTGTTACTTGTGATATTGGGAGAAAGAATGCAATATTCTATCTGTTACTGTCTGAAAGAGCCCCTGTCATCTGGCCTTGCTTTGGCCTTCCCAGCTTTGGGCATGGAGACACGGACATGCATACATTGGCTCCAGAGATGGAAGCCAATCATTTTTAATGTGAAGCCCTATCATTTGGTGTCCTCCTTCCACTTGGACAGGTTTCCATTAAGTTGCAAAAAATTGATCACCATCTGGCACGATGGTTCCTTCCGAATTGCTGCTAAACATGGAAACTCAACCGAAAAAAGACGACATCGAGATGATGCAGATTTCAGATTGGATTTGATCTGCTGAATTGTTAAAATGCTGAACGTTTCCCCTCTGCCCCTCGAGTGCTAAGGCTGTTCTTGCTTTGGTGAGGCAGTTAAACAGGAGGGAGATAAAAGCAGATCTGTCTTTCACGAGGCCGAGGATGCTGCATGGGAACTGCTGGATCACAGCCTGAACCTCTGATTGACCACCTGAGGCAATGAGTCAGCCCTGGGAGCACAGGTGAAGGCGATTCAGCTGTGCTAGCAGAAGGCGTGGAGCCTGGCTCCATTTCTCCTAGATCCCATTTAAGAGCTGACTACCAGTAGGGCAGGATCTCTTTTGGAGATTGCTCCTCTTGGAGTCTTCTCAGCGAGCCCAGGACCAGGGTAAGCTTCCCATCTGTTCTTCTTTGGCGTGGTAACCCATTTAGCCTAACTTTCCTGTATATTCCTTAATTATAACATCTGTACATTCACTGATTATGCAGATGTGCAGCCAGCATCCCGCTAGGATGCGCAGATTAAGAGAATACATGGAACTTCCAAATTTAGAGTGTAGGACTGGCTCCCTGTAAGCAAAGTCTGCTTTTTAAAGCGAGATGTTAGCAAGATAATGCCAGGGAAAGAGAAAATAAGTTTGCGTTTTGCGACTACGTTCTGTTATTTTGCAGCCAACCTTCAAACGGGCTGTTGGTGCAAGTGAACAAACGCTTCCTGTCTGTCCGTCCTCATGGGTGGTCGCGTTTTAAAATGAAATATACAGGCTGACAAATGCCTTTACAAAGGCCAGATTATAAACTGTAAACCTACTGTCAGCTGGGTAGGAAAAAAAAAATCCAAATGCCTCTTATACCATTTAAAGATTTAGTTTGGCTTCAACACTAAAGCACTTCATCTTGAAGGAGAAAGGAGCTTAGAGTTTATAAATTGTTGTTTGGGCTCTAGTAAGCTCTGGATAAGGGAATCTATCTGCTAGGAAACAAATGACCTTCCCAAAATTTAGGGAGCTCTGGGTATTGTTACAAAGACAAAATGCCTTGGAAAAATGTCCCCAGAATACAAAGGGATTTGAGGCTGCTCTGTTACTCTTAACACACAGTTCATACAGCTGCAAAGGGCAAATCTTACAGTTCCCATCTTTAAAAATGGGTGGAAAAAAAGTTAAACATATCAGGGTAATAAAATATAAGCTGTTTAGATTGATCCCCTCTGTCTAATTTGACTATAGACTTTCTCTTGCGCACAGTTGTTGAATCCAGGCTCAGCATCCACATTATCTTGGCCAAAAAAAGCCTCAGAGTAGTCTAAGTTCCTCCCAGTAATGATCATCAAAGGGAAATTTCATAGCAAACAGAGTGGTTTATGGTAATATGGTTACTGCCTTTCATATTTGGAATGCAAAGGGAGGCACAAACTCCAGAAACAGCAGAAACTAAAGGGTATTGCACACCCTTGCGTCCATTACGTGGAAATCTTGCAGCTCCATTCCTGCAGAGCTCTCATCCTCTGCTCTGCAAATGCCGTTCATAGTCTCTTCATCAAGCTGAGTTTGCAAGAATGCTGTTGCTGTAAGATAGAGCTCGGTGGACAAACAGAGGTCTGCGCTGAAACAGGGCTGCGTTTTTAATCTGGTTGTTGTTGTTGTTTTAATTTTTCACATTTTGCTTTTATTTTGAGGGTTTTGAGATGGACCTGGACCAATATCCTCGTTGAGTCGGGTGGGAAATGGGCAGGATGAGCACCACTCCCGTTGGTTACATAGGGAAAGGTTCCCTTTCCATTCCATCCATCTCATGCAGATCTCCCAGGCACCACTTCTCGTTCCTCTCCCATTTTTATTACTGGTATCCACATTGGCTAGCACAGCTGTTTGACACTCTTGGGAAATCACTGCGTCCATCTTCTTGAGATGCCCTCCCTGATCATGGGCCATCCCTTCATTGTGCCTTTCTGGTTTTAAGAGTTTTTTTTCTTTATCTTTAAATATTCATCTCCAATCAATTATTTGAGATGATGCCCCCTTTCCAAAGCTCCCATCAAGTTCAAAAGGATGCGAGACACAAACATGTTCAATTTTCTGTGTACGCCACACACTTTAGCCTCAAGTACGTCAGCGCTGAATTCCAGAAGACCTTTGGAAACTATGACTCTTTTGGTGCCCATCAGATTGTTTTAATGCCTAAATGTGATTCATGCTGCAACTTGTGCTGTTGGCCATCCCTTCTATCCAACCCGGAGACCAGATGACAGTTGTGCAGCTGTATAAAATGCTTTTTTTCTTTTTTTTCCTGAAGGAACAAAAAAAGAAATTACTGGAAAATCTTCATAGCGGATCTCCCTCCGCCCACAGAGTGGTGGGAATAAACATCACAACTTCAGATCTTGGTGAATGCAGATAAATAGAGGCTTAGCTGATAAGTTAACGACATACCAAAACCAGATTGCTTGAAGTCTGAAATAATAAGAAGCCGATGAGCAGAATGCTGGAATCCTGACAAAACACTGCTTTCTGCTTTGAGAGGAGGAAGCCTGGCCTGGTGCTCAGGATGGAAGTGGAGGAAGATGGCATGGGGAGCCCGGAGTGAGCTCCATGCAGCTCTCATGTTGGGCTTCCTGGAGCAAAAAGCCTTGCCCTTGCAAGCCATGATGCTTTTAGAGTCACCCTTCAAGCCTCTTCCATCTCCATTTTCTTTTTTCCAGGTATCAATAGAGAATCCAGCTCTCCTGGGTCCATCTCTTTTGTCTTGCCCTTGAAACATCCTTATCCACCAAAGTAAGTCTGAAAAAAGAGCCATTCTTCTGGCACAACTCCATCGTGGACCCACTGGCTCTGCTCTCTTGATTCCCCTGCCGACCTAAGCAATGCCTGCTCCATCATGGATGTGCTCTGGCAATGAAGCATTGAGGCCAGGGCTGTTCTTGGAGGAACTGAGGCTCAGAAAAGTTCAGGAGTGCGCCAAGTTGTGTGGGTTGAATCCAACTCTTCCATGTCTCAGGCAGTGAAAATGAAGGGGGGGGGAAGGAAGTGGAAAACTTTGGGATATTCTCCCAAAACACTTCCAAGAAAATCCTTTGGAAATTATTTTTTCCCACAGCACTCTTGTAGACTGAATTTATGCAAATCCTCTGTGGTTGTGCTCTTCATTTGTACGTTTTTAAATCAATGTGTGGTTATGATTGAGATATTTAAAAAAAATACTAATAATCTTCTGCTGAAAACCAATTTTATTCATGTATAGACCATGGAAAGATGAGTGGTGCAGCATTTGTTGAGGAAGGTGTTGGATGCTGAGAACAGGTTGCTCTGGGGTCTGCCTCATTTGTCCCTCTTTGTAGAGATAGAAGGCTTGATGCTGCTTGGCAGTTCACAGGATTGGGCTGCTGAGTAAATGGCAAATTCATTTAGAGATATCTAGTGAATGCACAGAATAAGCTGCCAGCTCTCTTCTTAGAGCCAACAGTTCACTAATTTTAATCACCAGCTGGATATTTTTATGGGGAGTGAAGAGACGGAGGGGTATTATGACAGAACAAGGGAGGTGGGATTAGACTAATCTAACCCAGGCCAAGTGGGCTCTTCCTGCTCAGCCATGTGCAGTGTCATGACTGTGTGATTTAGACTACCGCACGCTCACCAGCACTGATAAGGAGGACAATTATGGGGCACGTAATTGTCTCCTCAACCCTTGGAGCTGAGGAGCGTCTCCAGCTCTGAGTTAGAGCCATTCCCCACGGCGGGGATGTGGGTCCTGATGACTGCTCCCCAGGGCTCTTGTGATGTTGCTCCCCATGGATTCTGGTGTGCGCTCTGCTCTTGGATGGCGCTCGCCCTTGCCTTGTCCCAAGCAAAAACTCAGCAAGACATTTGCTGAGCTCCTTCATCCTGCTGTAGAAATGTGGTGGGTGGCAGCTACATTATCACCTTTGGAGAAAGCTTCTCTGTGTTATGTCTCTGAGTCCCTCAAGAGTAGTTTCTCTGGTTAATTGTCATGTTTCCCCGTAATGTCTGGTTCTCTCCATGTCCTTCCTCACCTTCCGCTTACTCATACCCAGCTGAGACTCGTGCCAGACTGTCGCTGCCTGAGTGTGTCCAACAAATCAAGGCAAAAGGCACAGTGCCACCTCTCCCAGCCTTGGTTTTACTGGATACTCCTGGTAGGAAGCATGGGAAGTGGTATCCAGAGCCAAATTTTTCCTCCCCCCCCCCCCCCCGTTTTGTTTTGTTTTGTTTTTGGAATAACCCTCTGATTGGCACATAGCAGCTTTTGTTGTTGTTTATTTGTGTAGCTTTTCATCTTAATGAGGATGTAAGGAAACAATTACCACATGGTTCATTCACAATATCAACTCAGGCTTTTCCTGTCTGCGCGGTGGCTGGGCTTAGCCACTGAACATTGCAGAAGTTATGCTTTTTGCTCATTATTATTTTGCTTTAAATACATATTGTACAATAGGGATGGTTTTCCCCAAGAAATAATGTTTGGGTTTTGCACCAGGTGACTGGAAATGCCCCACAGCTTCTCCTCTTTGGCGGCTGAAATTCCAGATTCTTTTAGAAGATGTACTTTTACAGGAGGGCAGAGAGGGGTCAAGATGCACTGACTAATTCAAGATTTCCTCCACTCGTTTCCATAACAAATAATCATTTTTCTTTATTTAGCTGTGCTCACTGATAGGTTTTCATTTGCATCAAAGCTTTGTTCTGCTCTTGCTTGGGCTGCCTCCAGAGGCCAGAGAACATCACAAGCTGCTCCTAGCACATCCTCCAAAGACATGGGCCAAAGTCAGAGCTGTGTATTGGCTCCCAACTGGAAACCCTTGTGAGACCGACCCCAGAGAGCTGCGTGGAGAGATGTCTGTGGATATTGAGTGGACATTCCCAGTGGAAATCAGTCCTAAAACTAAAAATGCTGCCGACTTTTATCTGGTTATTTAGAAGGTGCTTGGAATCTTGCCCCTTTGGGTTACATCCTTCCATTCGTGCGCACCTCGTCCGAGGCTGATTCAACATTACCATTATTCTCTGAGGGATTTCGTTCCTAGTAACTCAGGAAATGAGCCTTCAAACTCACCTCCAAAAGCTGTGGCTTGCTTTTCTGTGTGAAACCCTGGCACCGCCGCACTGGGGAAGCAATGGGGAATTTGGCAGGCGTTGGCTTTCCGAGCGGCCGTTTGCCCTTTTCCCGTCCCTGCGAAGAGCTGCCCCAGCGGAACAGCGTGATAAGAGGCTGAAAAATGGTGTTGTGCATGGGAGATCTCGGCGGATTTGACAGCTAACTTCCCTGCAGATACTGGTTTGTGCTGGGTGTGCTCCAGCTGGGGACACGGGGGGGCTCGGGTGGGACTTTCCAGGGGACTGAGCTCGTGGGCATCAGCCTCAATAGCAAGGACAGTGTCTCTTGGTCTGGCGAAGGAGGTGTCCTGATCAATCCTCTTGTCCCATTTTGAGTTGCCCAACCATGCACATGGACATATTTCCAATAGCCACTGCATGGCAACTGGGCTGATACTCAAAGCCTATTGCTCAGACTGGGGAACACCTGAGTGTGCTCTGGAGATGAGAAATCCTGTTTCCAGCTCAGACATCTCTGCTCTGTTTTTATCCTAAAAAAAAAAAATACATGGCTAAGGAATTATTCCTGGCCCCATCCTTGGTGCTGTTCACAGGCTTGCAGTGGTTAGCAATGCATGCTGCACTTCTATTTATCTGATGCACAGAGACATCTGTTTATCATATGTTGCACGTCTGATAAGCAACTTTTTTCTTTATCCCAAGGCCCGATTAAAGATTCCAATTAATGTAACTTGCAGGAAGGTCCTGTAACACAGCTTTTAAATCAATGTCATGTAAACTTCGCTGGGTTAATCCTGCACATCTGAATTTAGCTAAAAACCAACACCGCAAGGTCAGGCTGTACAAATTGATGGATTTTTATTCCTTTAACCTTAGAAGTGTTGCAGAGAGGGTAATAGCAGCAAGGCTTGCTCCTTCCAATAGCTTCTTTTTCCTGCACGAAAAAGAGCCATCAGACATTTTCCTTCTTTCTGCTATGTGCATATGCATCTAATATATGAGCATCTATACGTGTGTATTTTTTAAATAAGAAGAATTTTAATCAGCCAAACACTATGAAAAAGTTGCCGCTGCTTTTCAAATGTCTGTTATTTTTCCATTTTTTCCTTTCATTAATTTCATTCTGGTATTGTAAACTGGCAATATAATGGAGAAGATCTATCCTCCTCTCTGAATTACTTTTGGCAATGGGCTGAATAGCTGCAGATGACAAACCTCCTTAAAGACATTCACCAGCATCTCAAAGCAGATGAAGAAGTTAATGTTGGCATAACAAAGCAGCATGAATTTGAGGGGGGGGAAAAAAATGATGCACAATTCCTGGACTTTTCTCATCTTTTAGGGAGAGATTTTTGCAGTGTCTCCAGGACTCAGAAGTAACAATCTCTTATCAGAGCTCTTCTGTGCCTTTGCACTATCATCAACACATGTAAACAAAGCTAATACTTTGCGTGGATAACTTTCTGCAGGAGAATGCAGCCCGTGTAACAGCCTAAGGCAGAACATCATCGTTATCAGCTCTAAGCTAAGAAGGGTATTTAATTTAGGGAATTCGGCACTTCCTGCATTCTTGTTTGTTTGACAATATTTCGTATTTCCTATATGCTGTTTCTTTGCTTTGTTCAGGCATAGATATTAATTGGGGGTTGGACTCGATGATCTCTGGAGGTCCCTTCCAACCCCTACAATTCTGTGTGATTGATTCTGTAATATTTTAAATTGTCATAATAGTAGCAATAAGCTCTTTTCAAAGGCCTGCTGGAGATGCTTTGCTTTTCAGCTTGGTGTTATGCAGCTTTATTTTCTCTCCTTCAATCTCAGAATTTCTCTTTAAGAGCAACAGAACTTCCTACATTTCTTTTTTTCTTTAATAACTTAAATCTTTCTACTGGTTGATATTAAGGCTTGAAGCCAGCAGAGGTGTTTTGGAGCAGCCCTATTCCTACTGCACAGTTCAGGTGGGCACAGACATGAGATGGGGCTGAGGCTCCCGCAGGCTGGGCTGTGCCAACCGGACCATCTGAGCTCCCCGTTCATCCTGCTCCTGCTGGGACTTCCTTCTGCCTTGCTTCTCTCCTGAACTTGGCTCCTTTCCATTTTGTTTTCTTTCGCTCTCTCAAGAGCATTTGGGATCTCATCAGTAACGAAAGCGCGGTGCCAGGATTTTAGCTGGAGCTCCTTCTGCTGGCAGGATGACCACTTTGCACAGAGAAATCCCCCTGCAAGGCCAGACGTGAATTCTCTCCTTTTCTTTTTCCCTCTCTCTCTCTACATGTCCTTCTTGCCAACAAAGAGACAACCTTAATGAAGATGTATAAGCCAAGAACAGAGCTGGGCATCTGCCTGTCCCCTGCAGCTCGTTACTGCAGTGAGATGTGCTGAGATCCATGGCTCGTCTTAAACTTGGCTGAATCTGACCAGGAGCTTTTATCAGTTGCAATGATTTTGGTATCGAGCCCGAAATGCTGCATGTGGAAGTGATGGAGCCCAGAGCTGTGAGAAGTCCTGCTCTGAGTTTTCTGTCCATTCTTTCAGAATCAATGTTGTCTCTCTGCCCGTGCTCTGTCGGATGACCGTTCCTTCTCCTGCTAGATAATTTTGCCATTGATTTCAATGTGGGCAAGACTTGGGGAAACACAAAGTCCAGGCAGCCTAATTTCTTTATATATTTGCCTAATTACACTTATGAACATCCCTGATTGTTTTAAGCACCAGTAATATGTAAGAGAAGGCTGACCCACACCAGACACAATCCAGCTGCGAGCTGTGATGCAAACTCATGATTAGCTTGTTACAGTTCCGTGTTGTGGTCCAAACCAGTCCCTTAGCTGAGGAAGCACAGCAATCCCTGGGTCCCAAATCACCGAGCCTTTGATCTTGGCAATTTAATTTGGAATGAGACGCTTTGGGATGCTGATGTGTTACTGAATCCATGAGCCAGCACATAATGCATGACAAACTTTAACCTCCCAGCAAATGTGAATGTGCACTGCGCTCTTCTGAATGTGAACTTGTGTAGGATTCCAGCTGATACTTGTGGGTAGCATTTATGCAGAAAAGAAGTATCCTGTCAACAGCTGCTTTTGCTTTAAAAATCTAGAAGCATTCTTAGAAAGCATTTTGTGGCTTGCAGACTTACGTAGGATTTTTTTTTTCTATATATCCATTTTTCCTCTCCTCCCTACAGCAGTACTGCTAATAAGATGTGTTTTCTTATCCCGGTGCATTTAATCAAATCCAAAATCAAAGACTGATAAGAAAAATGAATTAGAAACTTTAAAAAACCCAAGCCATCAAATCGCTGGACAGTTTAGAATGAAACTGAAGAGTGAAAGCAAGATAAAGCTAAAACGTAGGGTGATCTCCAAGGTTGCAAGGCATCTGGAAGCCGCAGCTCCAGTGAGATTTTCTCCTTGATTTCTAGCAATGAATACAAGAATGCTGCAAGGCTACAAGGGAAGATGCTGGTCCATGGGTCTGCCTAGTGTAATTCTGATGCCAATGGGAGCATTGTTAGAAATTAGACATTTGTTCTTAGAGATTTTCCCTTTACAGGTTCAGACAGACTGTGAATGGGGGCTGGTTTTAGAAGATGGGATGCTAGCAAAGCAGCACACCCATGGTAGCCACCTCTTCTCGGCTTGCTGAATTGATGCCATGTGCCCAGGCTATGCCGTGGATGAGGATCCAATGCCTTCTGCCCATCCCATGTGTCAGGAATTCCCACTCCTTGTCTTCCCATGCATCTCTTCTAACAGATCAGGATGCAAACCCGCCAGCGCCGCGGGGGCTGAGCCTCACCAGCCATTTTTCTCATGCAGCACCAAGCAGCCATTTGATGGAAATGGCTCAGTGCCATCCCCGACCTAGGCTGCTTTTGAACCGGGCGACCTCTAAGTGAAAGGCTTGGTATCACATTGCCAGTTCCCCAAACCATCTGTCCTCCTTCAGTGAGCTTCCTTCAAAAGTCCCGGCACACTTCATAAACATCGCAGCCCTTCTCACCCCTCCAGCTGCCCCTTCCTCTAGGAGAACCAGCAGTTTGAAGGAAATACCACTCATTTCTCCTTTTCATTTTTTCTTCCCAAGTGTGTTAAATTTGACATCTGCGATTTGGCAAAGGCGAATCGTTTTTTTGTTGCTGTTGTTGTTGTTCCCCTCCCTGTGCTGTG